TTGTCCTTTGCTACAGTGAATAGTACAAAAAGCACTATTCATGAGCAGACATCCTTACCTAAAGTTGGTGGATAATAGAGTCGAGTAGTCGGCTCCGTACCATACCAACTTTCATAAGGGTATGGGTTTTGTCCTTAGTGTGCATAAGAACAAGACAACAACAGTCGTGCTAAGCAAGCTTCATTTGATCACTGAATGCTGGAATGACCTGAAGGTCTCATCATCATTCGCTGAAGCTTGAGCAGTCTTCACACATATGTAGACAGGTTTGTAATCACTGAATACCGCTTCAGATCACGTACTTACCAGTCTCTATTCTTCAGTTTCAGTTTTCGACGTTTGCTTAAGGTTCTTTGGTGTGAGTGTTGTCTTCTTGAAGTATTGCTGTCTCTGATAGATTTACAATGCAAGTTCTTCAGCGATCACTGAACATACTCAGTGAAGATCGCTGGAACTAAAAAGACAGAAACATAAATACAACGTATAAGTGAAAATGGATTATCATCAAATCACTAAGAGAGAGGATCAACAGTTTCGTTCTTTTTCTTCAAGTAATGAGAAGAGCTCCTTATGTGGATTCATGTGGAAAGAAGCCCCTAAATCCAAGAGACATTGGTCCTTGATAGTCTCACTTCCTTTTGACACAATTTGAGCATCATCAGAATCATTCACAGCAACAAATGAAGATGATCCTTCCTTGTCGGTCTTAGCTTTGAGACATGGACATTTTTCAATCTAATGTCTGAATTGATGATAATAGTGGCAATTGCCACTCTTCTTGGACTTACCTCTAGATTCTGGATTGCATGACCTTGAATGGCCTCTTGACTTATCTCTCTTTCGAAATTCATTACATCCTCTCCCCACGAATAACCCATGGTTGTTGCTTCTATCATCTTTGTCAACATTCAAGCCTCACATTTGATCCCTTAGATCCTCACTTAAGAGGCCCGTTTTTGGATTTGCCATAGTTATAGTATCTCTACCACAAATTAATGAATTAGCAAAGCTGGTATACCTTTCAAGGAGGGAGCATAGAAGAATCATTGTCATTTGTTCCTCATCTATCTTCAAGTCCACTGATTTTATTTTCATATTCAAATCATCAAGAACGTTGAGATGAGACTTTATTAGTATACCTTCCTTCACCTTGTGTTGAAGAAAGTTTTGAGGAGGATGAGACGATTAGTGAGAGACTTTGTGAGGTAGAGCTCTTCTACCTTGTTCCAAATACCTCGTGCGGTTGTCTCCGAGCTTATATTCAAAATCACCTTCTCACTCGTTGCTAGTTGTAATGTCATGAGAGCTCATTCTTCCATCTCTTCCAACTCTTCCTCCTATATATCAAGGGTTAGTTTGTCTAGTTCATAGACAACACGATGCACCCGGTTTCTTCGAAGTACTACCTTCATCTTCCGTTACCACTTTCCAAAGTCTTTGTCCCCATTCCACCTCTCAATCTGAAGTGTAGATTCAGATGTTGCATACAAACTTTAATAGAGGTAGAAGAAGTGTTTAATGAAGGTTTGCCTGAGTTTTCGTCTTCTTTGGAGACCACCATCACGATGCTTCAAGTAGTCTTGAATATGTTCCACCGAAACGCCAATAATCAAAAACGAAGCTCTGGTACGACTTGTTCGAGTTTTGGATACCACAAAGGTCCCAAAGACAAAATAAAGTAATGAACCTTATTCATTGACAATCAAATGCGTGATGCCAATCAACAACAAATGCGGATAACAAAATAGGATGGAAAGCACAACAAATAATCAACCAAAGAACTTGAGAACACACATAACACATTGATTTATGTGATTCCATCACGGGTATGGTGATGTACGTCTACATGGAAGAAGAGGAACTTTTATTGATGAAGAACATTCAAACACCGAAGAAAAATTACAAACCGGACACTAAATCGAATATAATCTCTCTAAATAATTTTTCTACTCAAACTATGACTTCTAAGCTCTCAAATTTCGTTGTCTTACACTAAACATCCAAATATCTTAATTCAACATTTGTAACACAAGTGTACTAACTCTTAGGACTAATATAGAAATCAACGTATTTAATATGTGCTACTTTCTAGAGTTTAATAAATGTAATGAAATATTGTTAGAAATTGAGTAACAATTAATTTTTTTTTTGTTACGTTTTAATAATATAAAATTTTACTTTTTTATTAAGTTATTAAATTAAATTTTTTGTGGTATTCGTAGTATATGATTGAAGTGGGAAAAAGAAATTGATGGCTAAAAAAATCACCACTTTTGTCTCTTTTATTTAATGTTAGGCCGGATTGAAGTCGACCTAAATATATAAAATACTTCTAAGAGCATCAAAATTAAATTTTTGATGTCACTCAGTATTAATTTTAGTCTCTTTTTATTTTTAAATTAAATACAATTTTTGTCGTTGTTGTTGTCGTTGTTATTGTTATTTTGTTTACTTTTGATCATCTAATTAACTCACGTTAAAAAAGTAAGTTAATTTAAGAGTATTCTAGTTATTTTAATGTGTTTGTTATTTTACTTTTCTCGTTTTTTTCCATTTTTGTTTTACTATACTATATATATTAAATTACATTTAATATTTAGTTTATTTAATCATTAAAAATAAGTAATTGTTTTTCGAGTTTTTGTCATAAAAATATAATATTTAAGATTTTAGTGAATTTTAATTTAATATTTTTAATCAACTTTATAGTTTAGTTATTATCTCGTGTGTTTTAAATATTTAATCAATATGTATCAGCCATTTAAAAAATTAACTAAAAATAAATAAATTGATATATTTCATTTTACAAATAACAAATTAAAAATATAAAATTAACAAATACGGTGATTCCGGTTTACCTGTGAAACAAATCGTAGTCCTGGAATTAATCGACTTGTATAATGAGTTGGATATGTAGGTTAATAAAAAAAATTTGAATGAATTATATTGATCTATATACTAAAAAGTAAAGAAAATCAAATATTTTACAAAAACTGTGCATAGAATCCTGACGTGTTAATTTTTGACAATATAAATAAAGATAAAGTTGGTTTTTAATTTAATTTATTTTTTTAAATAACAAAAGTAATAAATTACTTATATGGTTTGATAATAAGACGATCAAACGTGGAAAAAGCTGTAATTTATATTTATATAATTACAGGCTTGGAAAAGAGCCGTCTTTTGAAGAATGTGAGCTGGAAACAGTGAGCCGAGCCTATGGTTTTAGCTGGCTTCTGTTGGTTAACCAAGAAAGTGGCCAAAAAAAGGAGGGGAAAACTCTCTCACGTGACTAATTTGGCTTCAATCCGAGCTTCTGTTCTCCATGCCTCAGAAAACAAATATTTTATTTTCTAAATAATATTTTCTTTTCGATAATCTGCATTAAAACAAGCGTAAATTTATATTTGGTCCACGTGGTGTTATAACATCTCAAAGTTCGTTTTAAGCTAACTATAAATTACAACTTTATGATTTATAATTTATTACGTGTTTGGTTTTTTATAATCGAGGATATTTTAATTATTTCATCTATTTCTTATTTTTAAATTAAAATGGTTTTAAAAGTATGTTATGTTATTTTATTATGTCATATTTATACATGACACGGAGGGATGTGTACCACTTCTCATCACAACCACACCCGTTCTCCGTCAATAACTATTGCTCTTCTTCGGCCACCAATATCATTTCTCGTCACCATTGCATCTAACATGTTGCTCGTTCCCATCCTTTGTTTTTCTCCATCTCATTGGTTGCTCTTCCAATCACCTTTCCCACCGTGAAGTTATCTCACTCCCACCACTGTCCTTGTCTTCCATCTCCGGTGAAGACCACCAAAGCTAGGCAAAACCCAACAAATTTAAGCACATGAATCACCAAATCCTAGGTGAGTTTGTAACAGATGAATATAGAGGGAGAAAACCTCTAATCTCCATTATCTTCATCTCTCTCCTGACTTCTTCAACATTCATAATTAGGGTATGTTTCCAATTGCTTTATTGTGTATGGCGTTTTCAATGGCGATGATGGGTTAATTGAAGAAGATGGGTGCAATCAAGGGTAACAGTGCTTCTAAAGGGGATGAATAGTGATGGCATTGGTGTGGTGATGAATGCTGGTCTTTTCCCTTGTAGTTTAGAACCGAGTGAAATCAAGGGTAGGGTGTAACCGAGAAGATGGGTAGGGGTTTACTAGAGGAGATGGAGATCGAGATAAAATAAAATACTAATTAAATAATAAAGAGAAAACGAAACAAAATTTAATTAGAAATTTAAATAAATGGATAATCGACGAAACATATTCCCTGTAACAATTTTTTTTCAATAGCATACAAAAACCTTAATAAATTACATAATACAATTATGATAATATAATTAACAAAGACGAGGGATGAAAATCAAAAAAAATTAAAAACCATAGGGACGAATTTCATAATTTGCTTTGTAAATTAAATAAAAATAACTTAATAAATTACAAACAAATCATTTCCAATTTCATTTTTTGTCGTATATTTTACTTTGGTTTATATAGAGATAGGTTATTATATAATCTTTTACATTCCAACATATTTTTACAACCAAATCAAAAGCGTTTATTTAATCATCTAACGATTATCATTTAGTCGTTCTAACTACCCTTAATTATCACTTATATAATCTAGAGGGGTTGTATTTAGGGGGTGTTTATTTGAAACAACTTATATTTTTTTATGAAAGCACTTATCAACTTATTATAAGTCAGAAGGGTTTAACTTCTTCAAAAACTCCTTGTTATCGGTTTGACACCGATATAAGTTGTTTATCAAAACACTTAAAAGTGTTTATTATCGATGACATACCGAAATAAATCAATAAATTATTTTTATAAACAATCTCAAACACCCGTTTAAACGCTAATATTCATGTGGGCCTATGCTCCACAGTTATCTCATTGATCCTTCTTTTGACGTCTCCAACGGTTCTGCATTATCTTCTGCTCCTTCCAACTTCTATATATAATCTTCCATATCTCCTTCCCCCCATCACTCAGATCTCCAATTTTCTGATTTCGCTTGCATCCTAATTCATTTTCAGTCTCCAATTCGGGTTCTATTTCGATTTCGTAACGAGTTCCAGGGTAAAATATAAATGGAATTGAAGAACATGCTAATTGTTGCTCGTAGCGGACGACAATTGCAGCGTTACAACAAGGGACGTCGTCAAATCGTCGGGTCAGTCAGTCTCTTCTTCTTATACCTGTTGAATGATTTCATTGGGGGTTTTTGTTTTTCCGAAAAGGGTGAATCGAAATTGGGGTAAATTGAAATGGGTCCTTTCTAATTTCTCCAATTTTGAATTGGGTTTCGTGGAAATTGGATGCCATTATCGAATTTGACTCAATGAGTGAAGAAAATCGTGACCGGGTTTTAGTCTGTTTGATCATTGATGATTTGTATTTCGATTATTTCATGGCAGATGTATTCCTTATAGAATAAAAAGCAACAAGGCATCAGGGAAGAATTTAGAAGATGCATTAGAAGTTCTTCTGATTAGTGCACAAAGGAAAGGGAAAGGGATGTTGTTTCCTAAGGTATGCCCATTTTATTTTTCATTTGTCATGGAGGAAGAAGTGGCATTTGGGATTTCATGTGTTTTTTGGCGGACGTCCGTTGACTTTTTCAATCTTGAATGATGACTAACACATGGTTTAATGTCACCAGGGAGGTTGGGAATCTGATGAATCCATTAAGGATGCTGCTCTAAGAGAATCTGTGGAGGAAGCTGGGGTTCACGGAACGGTTGAGGTTCGTTCGTCGGTTCCTTTTCGATATCATATCACACATCTACATTTGTAGCATACGATCTTTGACATTTTTCTTGAAAACTGTTTGAAGAAATCCAAGTCAAACAAGCATTTAATCCATGTTTATCTTTCTTGATTTACTTGTTTTTGTTGAAATTTACTGCAATTTACATGTTTTGTTTGACGATTTTCTTGAAAAGTGTTTGAAGAAATGCTCTATTTACATGTTTTTGGTGAACATTTACCGCACATATTGGGTCCATGGCTCGATTTACATGTTCTTGTTGCAATTTTCTTCAAAAATGTTTGAAAGTACATGTTTTTGTTCGAAAAATTGCTAATTTACATGTTTTTGTTGAACATTTACAGCGCATATTGGGTACATGGCTCTTCAAGAACAAAGGAAACGATAAATATTACGAAGGGTACATGTTCCCTTTACTTGTGAAAGAGCAATTCGACTTGTGGCCCGAAAAAGACATTCGCCAACGAGTTTGGGTACGTTTTTTAAAGCAAAAAGGAGTTGGGTTTTGAGCAAAACTCGCAACTTTTTCACAGGAACTTATGCTCATTATATGTTTTATTTCATTTTACAGGTGAGCGTACCAAAAGCTAAAGAAGTTTGCCAACAATCTTGGATGAAAGAAGCATTGGATTTGCTTGTAACCCGTCTCGAATCATCTCTAACCAAGATCGAGGACGACAACATTATCGATCAAAAAAGACCCTTGTGATCGCAAGCTTACTAAAACATAGCCTTACATGTAAATAGGACACAATTATTGATCAAAAAAGATTCACAAGATCAAAACTCTCAGATTATGTGGGACCCCCACTAGATTATTCTTCAAAATAGTCCTTGAAAAAAAAGGATGTTGAGATACTGCATCGGAGTAGAAATGTAATTTGGAGATCACTAACTTTTGTTTCTGTTTTACCTTCTTCTTCGTCATGGTTTCCGCACTCATGAATGGAACTTTGCTCTAATATTTTTGTGGTGCAACTTGGTTCAACATCAATGAAAGTTTCGTTAATTTCATTCCAGAAAACCAGTGTTATTCTTAATTTCTTGTTCAATGTTGAATTATTGTCGATGGGTTTCTTTTAATCCAACCCAATTTGCGTATTAGTGTTGAACAGATCACAAATACAATTTGTATTTTTGCCTCTAGGGTGTAGCTAAGTTGGTTCTAAGATGATATACTTACAGAAAACATTGATTTCATCTGGATTTAAGCACAACTGGTTCTGAGATGATATAGTTACAAAAACATTGCTTCCATCCATATATAACCACAGTTGATTTCGAATTGGTATACTTGTGGAAAGACTCTTTCCAAAGATTGTTCCTTGATCTATCCTTCTTGAGGTCATATTATCACCAAGTCATCAATGATAGGTACTTCTTGTCCTGGGCATAAATTTCCACATAAATAATTGCTCAAATTGTATTAAAAACATATATATGATATATGTTTATGTTTGATTTGGCGTTTGCCATGCAATACGTGCGTTTTAAAAATGTCAACTGATTTGTTGATAACTGTGGGTATCCATGTCAATTTCGATACACTGCGATCAAGATCGTGGGACCCTCAAATTAATAGTTGAACAAACCTCCAGTAACTCTAAAGGAATTCGAACAGTGTGATCTAAGTATACTATCAAAATGAACCTGTAGAGATGCCTTCAGACATTTTGCAAAGAGCCAAAGTTACCACTTGCTCGTAGTTATCTTATAATGTTGACTAGGATTTGACATCTACATACACATAATCAAGTATTTATAAATTTAGAGCTATGTTGGAAACAATTTTTGTACCCCTTGGGATAGATGAACAGTTTGCATACTACCTACCCCCGGTCCCCTCCCATACCCTAAATCCAAGTGGGATATAACATAAACAATTTTTTTTTTAAAAGCAGTTGCACCAAAATAGAACTTACAACGTTTTTCATTCTTATCTTGGGGTTTCAAAACCAATATCATAGGAAACCAATTTTAAAAAAATTTAACTTAATGGACCGGGTAAGCGAATTTGTATTTATTAAAATAGAAATGTAAACAAAGTTTGTTCTATTTTGGAGCTTGTTGAAGTGTCATTGCCAAGATCTAATGTAATTCCTTTTCCTTGGGAGCCAATTTCGCTATACATAGGAAGGAAACGAGGTCCAAGAATGAAGAAGGGGTAGAATTACTGAATGAATATGAGTTGTAGCTATACCCGAGGCATAAAAGAAGCATTTTCCACGGGATCCCGAAACCACCAGCCACCCCGACCTAATTCATGATGAGCCCACCAACTTCCTGGCAAAATGCCTACGGTTAAAAACCACCGACATGTCAAGATCAAAATTCGAATTGGTTCCTGGTCCATGTTAGAGACCACTGTGTTCGCGTCGATGATCCAATAAAGAAGCGAAGTAGTGATCTCTTTCTTTTCATTAGATTGGATACGCTTCCTCAATAAAAGACTACTCTTCTCGCTCATAAAACATTTCTAAGTTATACCGGAGATTTGATAAAGGAGCAACTCATCATATAACTCCATGTAGCTCATACTATCCCTATGAAAGCATCTGTTTCATGAGTTGAACTGGCTCTGCTCCTTGCCGGAGAAAAAACGTTCCCCAAAAATGAGAAATATTGAAAGTTGGCAACTCAAAATAGGAACGAAACAAAATTAAGTAAAATTTTTGTGTAATTCGCCTTTCTATTAAAAAAGGTTCTTAATGTTTTCACATCAAAATAACGATACCTTATATGCTTTGCTAAAAAATTGTATGACAAATTGTATCATTGAGTACAATATAATATAATGTAACATAACATAAACTACATATTAATGTACATCAAAAGCTTTTATATCATGAATTCTTTTGATTTATTTTGGTCAATAATTACAATTCTAAAATATGTGTTTTTGCAAAATAAATCTAAAATGAATAATTAGTCTTATATAACGTATCGACAAGCATTTTAGTTATAACAAACCCGATTGTCAACATGAACCTACTTTCTAAATCTGTATATGAATACTGTTTATTTGTTTCTGGAATTCTATCTCAAACCAAAAACAACTTAATTAAAGTCAGTTAAGCACGTAATGGTTTAGAGAGATCAAGTGAAACAATGTTTATGCAACGATTTCTTATATTTCTTCAGAGATTAGAATTTTCTGTTTTTTAGGATTCAGTTTGAGAAAATGAATGGATCAGATTAGACTGATAACATAGTTAAACATGTAACATATTAAATAAATATAGTTTTTAAAAAGGTGTTTAATTGATTATACTTGTAAACAAAATATTATGACTTCAAACCACCATATGATAAAATAAGAGTGTTTGGTAAAAATCAGTTATGATTATGATTTTTTGATCATTTTATAGTAAATACAAGCATATTTGGAGGAGCATGTACGAAATTGATATACAATAACTGACTATTAATGTGAATACCAAATCAGATAGTTATTTTTAGTTTTAAACATATGATAATTGAATTATTAGATTCTTCAAAACGCAATATTCAATTTGAAAAAGCACAACCACCTCTAAGATGGATTATAATTTGTTTGATGAGATGACTGAGTTGCATGAGTTAGATTTCAGTAGCTGTTAAATGAATTAGACGTATATATCATAATCATATATATTTATCATCTTAATGTAGGTTATCCGATATAAATTTATATTCACTCAAAATATGTACTTCTTAAATCAATTTATAAATGTTGTTAACGGTTAATTTAATCCATCCTAAGAAGTTACATAGCCTGACTGATTATTCAACATGTTTGATCTGTATACTTTGCTGGCTATATTTACTTATTGAGACAGGTAACCTAAAAAGATTGTATCTCAAGATAATTTTTCCTAATGATAAAAGTTTATTTACGTTATGACTTTCAAACAAATAACATATTTTCTTAATTTGTATTAGTTTGTATACATCTCTACTAATTGCATAGGAGCCTGAAGTTAACAGTCAAGTTCTGAAAAAACTCAAATTGATGACCACTGCATAACAAACACAATATTTAGCGGTTGAGCTACCCTTGAGATTAAGGATTATACACTGTATGTAATCATATATTGTTTGTATGAAAATACAAAAAAAAAAAAAAACATAATATATATTACAAAATAATTGAAATATAAGTGAAAAAAGAATCTTCCTACCTAATCCCTCCATTTTTAAAACATTCTGTTCATATTTTGAAAAACGTATTTCTGAAAAACAGTGTTGTAATTTATAAAATTGTCTATTTAACTGTTTACAGCTTGAATTTTTATAGAAATATATTCTAAAAAAAATACGTCAAGTTTCACCTACATGATGTCAACGTTACATATTAACAAAAAAGACATTTTCAAACTACAAAATCTTAAATGAGAATTTTGAAAACTGGTTTCTCAAAAAGTAAAAATCAGATCAAAGTATATTATATTTCATTCTTTTCAAAACAACCCATTCTATCTTTTTGCATTTGTTACGCCCAAAGACGAGAAACTACCATCTTATCTGCATATATTAAGCTACCATCTTATATGCAGATATTATAGTTTGATCTTTTTCGATTAAGATCAGTAATCTTAATTTCAAATACAATATTTTTGAAATAAGATACGGATTTTTTTTGAAAATTTGTATATAAAATAAAAAAGAGATAACAAATTTGTGGTTGGTTGGTATCATATTATTGGTAGAAACACAATGATTGAAAAGAAGAGAAATATAAGTGTGTGAAGTCTACATTAAAAAGAGACGGCCCTCAAAACAAATCAGTGGAGGGTATTCCATATTGACTTGGTAATATCATTATCATAATAAGTCTCTTCATGATTAGGGGCAATATGGTCTTTTCACATTTTAGAAAAAAAAATTAATAGAAAACTTAGAATTATATAATTAATGTGAAAAATGGAGAGATCAACTTCCAATACTAGATCAAAGCATCTTCGTTGACTTGCTCATGGGAGAGAGTTGAAACCGACAAACAAATAATAAAATATTAAAACTATATATGTATGTGCATGCATGTATGTGTGTATGTGCATGCATGTATGTTGCTTTGCATGGATGGTCCTATTGGGTCGGGTCCTTCATGTCGAAAAAGAGCTCGACCCAGTTCTTGGTCTGAAAACGTTAGATCAGTCCTAAATAATTTTGACTAAGCTCGGTTTCGTTCTCCTGTTGTATGTAAGATGGTGATGAAGGTGTAGATGATGTGTGTCAGGTTCAAATGGAATAATTAGCTGCAGGAGTTGGTGGTCGGTATTGTATAAGTGGTAAAGTAGGAATGATGATTGAATTGTACTATTTCTAATGTTGATTATTGGAAACAGTAGGCAGCGATAAGGCAATTTTTGCTATATGAGTCCGAATTTAAAATTCAAGATTAGGTTTTGTGTTAAGTTGGCAAGTTGAGCGGTTGATATAGGGTTCAGGTTTGTTGTGGAATAAAACTTTGAATAAAGTTCTTCCTTTTAAAATTTGAAGTTGATCGTGAAGTTCAAATTTTAGACTGGATTGCTAAAATTGTGTGTACGAAGTAACAAGAATAAAAGCTGTGAGATAAAGTGGATTGTTAAGATATATTCGGGAAAGGAGTGTTGTATTTAATCATGTTGTGATTATTATGGATATCATGAATTTAATCAAAGTTGTGTAGCGGAAGTATGGCAACTGCTAGTATTCGTTTCGTTATTTGAAAGAATGTTCCAAGTACGAATAAAAGATTTATTTTGAGGAACAAAGAGGTTAGTCATGTGGGGGGGGGGGTCTTCTAAATGTAAGGATATAGCGTAAGAGTTCGAACTCGATTTGGTAATCAGTTACCTTCGCTTGTTTGCTTGAACGAATTCCAAGTACGGAATTTTGTTAATGGGTGATAAGCCAAATTCTCAATTTGGCTATTTTTGGAAGTTCATAAGTCATTTAGTATAGACGCTTGTTTCCTGAAGGACATATGATGTAAATTAATTTCTGAAAAGTAACAAGGTGAATTTCTTCTCCATTCCCTGCTTCCTATTACAT